AGAACATAAGGTTGACGGAAACTCGGGAATCGCGCCTACCTGATGAGCCCCAAGAAGGACGAAACCGGTCGTGGGCTGTCGAAAAGTTTTCAGCAACCTTGTGAGTGGTTTCCTTCATGAGAATCAAAAATATGTTAACCCTACCACCCCCGGTCGTAGGAAACTTTACGAGAAAATACTCCCATCGAGCAGACTGAATTTTGCCCATTTCATTCATCCTTTGAAAAGAAGACACTCTATGAATCGAAGAGAGAACACTTTCTGGTTCCCCAAATGGATGACTTACTCTGTCACTAACACCATCACCGCAATGGCCTGTCATACTGGTCAACTCTTTTGTGAATTATCCTATAACTCGGAGTTAGATAGGCCATCAGTGCCTAGGGCCAGAACATATCACAGCTGAAGAGCAGATAATGCGACGCACGGCAGTCCAATATTCATGACAATTTATCATGTTTAATGGCTCCTCATCAAGTTTGGCTTGATGGTGTAAAAATGCCCTGACAAGGCCGACTGTCTTTGAAAAAGAGGACACGAATAGAGTGGTTATAAGCAGTCGGATATGCAAGTAAAAGACTTCTAAACAGAACCTAACAGAAACTCAATATTCCTAGTGTTCTTGAGTTTTCCTGAGGACTGTTTTAATATTTGCCTTTAGTAGACAAACACACTTGAACAGCGCACTAATGTTCCACTGAACTGTCGATTAGCTGCGGAACAGGCGTTCTGGACTGCGAGCGGATATTACTCGTGCGTTTCGTCAGTAGCAGGCACCGTTACGCCATTATACAGGCTCATCAATTTGCGCCAAACGTGCGAATCAAGGACACTCACAGTAGCACACGGTTTGTACGGAATGGGGAATTCTCTCCCAGTATCATAGAGGCTAGTAGAAAACACCCGGATACGAATCGAGATTTCATTAACTGTACGGAAAGCTTGAGATATAGTTCACCTCAGAGAAAATTTGTGAGGGACGGTCTCATTTCAAAAGCACTCGTAAACCGCAGTGCCAGTCACACAAAGCAACGAGCCTATGATAGAATACCGAAAATCCAAAATTAATAGAAGGGCACCACGACAAAAAAATCGTTCGGCTGTAACACCCTTCCGGTGCCTAGCTGCCATAACGGAGGGAGGAAGCACGAGGGCTGGGGTACTGCCAGGTCGCCCAGGCCTAGACAGGGGAAGTCGAGTGGCAGAGGTCGGGTTCGAACCACGGACCTTCCGGTCAGCAAATTGGCGCTCTAACCACTTGGGTCATCTCACACCTAATATAGTCGGGTTACGTGAACCAGAGTAGACGCAACACGTGGCTTAGATTTTTGACGGACACAAGTGTGGTCTAGCCAAAAAATCCTCGAAGAAGGATTGACAAACCGAGTCTCCCAACTGCAGTGACAAACCTAACTGAGCATAAAATAGCCATAACAGGTTGGAAGTTGGGCGATTAGTGGAATCCCGAGCAGACGTAGAATGATTGCCACCGTATTGATCCAAATTGTTCGGAACGCACTTAGAGAGTAGTTACAGTCTAACTTCGAGAGTCCAAGGAGACTTGTAAGCAGTGGTGATGGAAGATTTTTCGTTTCTACCAGAAAACATAGCTGTACAATCTTTGTAATGCACTACTCATAAGGTTGCTGAAAATCCGTCGACATGTATCGCGAAATCTCGAATATCGTAGCGACTGAGACATGAGGCGGCCTGGTGCAGCACATTCAGCTGCCGGAGAACATCACAAACGAGAGATTCAGCTGGGTTCCAGGTG